CAAGCTTAGTGTCCACCTATGGTGTGTCCTAACTGTTTTGTTTTAAAAGCTTTATAAAGAGTCAATTAATATTTAACCTTTCATATTCCCGATGTTTGCACTTGATGAAGGTGGTTTCAGTTAGTATGGACTTCTCACTTCTTTGAACTACCTTCAAACTACCCTCAAATTACTATATTCCCCTGGAGATCTCAATGCTTTATTGCCTTTTTACCTTTTTTGGGTGCTATCTGTTTAAGTTGTCCTGTTGCTTTTGTCTGCTCAGTGTGTTTTATAAAGGTTTTTCTTTCTTTCTTTCAGGTAAAACTTCTGAAAACTAGAGTTTAATTTTAATGACACTGCCTCAGAGTATAAAAATGTAATATTTACAGCTTAAAATTAGATTTTTTGTTTTGTCTTGTCTTTTAAGCACGTTTAATAATATAATTCAGAAGTAAAACTATTTTTTCTGGTATTTTTGAAATCTCACTTTGGCATGAGGATAAGGAAACTAAAGTGTGTCTTATTCAGAGAGCTCAAGATTTTGCTTGAATGTTACTGTTGACTAAATCTGGGGGTGTTTTTTCCAGGTGAAAATAACAATAATAACTTTTTTAAGGCTTAGAGCTTGGGAAGTGAATGAAGAATGTTTTCTTCTTTTTATAGACCTCCTTCTATATATGTAAATACATATTAAGATGGGTGAAAGAAAGATAAGGTTGAATTGCATGTCTGTTTGATCTGTGTAGCAAATGAATCAAAATGACCTTATTTTAATCATCATGTACATTAGCCATAATCCTCTGCACAATTCTACTTAGCTACCCCGTAATTTGTAGCAGCATGAATAATAATAACACGATATTGGATGTGGCTTATTTGAATGAATTTCAGAATTAAACATTTCATCAGCTACACCAGCATCTACTGAACTGCATTCTGAGTAGGACAAACTGGAGATTTAAGTTAATTTTTTAAGGATTGACTGACCTTGTACGGATGAAGAGGAAAGGTGACCAATCAAAGTTGGCTGGGATCAACATTTCTAGCACAGAAATAATGTTGAGGCATCAACCAATCATAAGTCCCTGTGTTTACACAGTGTAACACTGCGCATCATTGCACAGTGGCAACAGTGTCACTGGTGACACTTTGTCTTTACTGTATGTCACTTTTTCTATTGTGCTTTCATCCTGGCGGCTCTTTGATGCTCAAAGCGAGCATGTCAGCATGCTTATGTTACATCATCTCTAATTTATATAGATAGCTATAAGATTATATCCCATTATATTTATCATCCCACTTTCGAGTGTTAGCACACCAAGAGGAGTCAATTACCTCTAATTACATAGTGATGTGAATGCCATTTTTATGCCATAAAACTGTGATGCTGCTAATAATTATACATGGCTGAAGTTATTACAATTTTTCTAGAGGCAATATGCAAATTCTGTGTGAATGCAATGTAATGCTTTTCTAGTCTTACTCTCTACTCAAATTGTTTTAGATCACAAGTCTAGACGCTATACACTAGGACTTTATCCACCTCTCATCCATTACCTAACAGGAGTCACTGTTTACCCTTTCCGTGTCTTTGGACTGTAGGAGGAAACCCATATAAACAACTAGAAACAGGTAGAAAATGCTGACTACACACAGAGAGGACAATTGAAACTGGAAGCTCATTGCTATGAGGTCAAAGTGCTAACCACTGCACCACCGTTACAATGCCCAGAAGTCTGTAATACTTTGTCTAATCTAAAGATAACATGGACGTGAAGGTTAAACCAAAGCAAAAGCCAGGCTATCACTAAAGTATTTAGCATTCATCACATGTGGACCATGAATGTTTGTGCAAGATTTCATGGAAATCCATCCACGAAATACGTATTAAGATCGGTCTAAGAAAGATAAGGTTGAATTGCATGTCTGTTTGATCTGTGTTGCAGCTGAATCAAAATAACCTTATTTTAATCATCATGTGCATGTACATTAGCCATAATCCTCCTTATTTAAAGGTTAAAGTTTGTACAAGTTCAAGTACAAATGTATTAAAGCATCGAACTGATGACCCTGTGAAGAACATTTTACTGATTTATGCTTTTAGTTTGCTTCAAAGTATGCTTCAGCATTCTCACCATGATCTCCAATTCATAAAATAGCAAGGATGAACTTTTCACTTTTAGTGCTTTGCTTTTTGAAATATTTATCTTAACGTGGGGAGCTGCAAACGTAGAAAGTGAGTGTGTGTAGCTGCTTCAATAAAAAAATAAGAAATTTAGAAATTTGAGAACAGAGCTCAAAAGCTTTCAAACATCCTGAAGAATAAAGGATACTCGTAACAACCGGCTTGTTGTCTAGAAACATAGATCAGTGTAAGACAGTGAAGAGCGAGAGAAGCAGTCTGGATAGACTGAGACTGACAGAACTCAACGAGAACCCCCAACACAGTGTCACAAACCAGATGACCAGATCATCAACAGCCCTGCTGACTACCACTGCCAGCATGGCATTATATTGCTGCTTTCCTCTCATCACTGTACCCTGCACCAGCATCTCATCTCCCTACTGCTGCTTCAGTTATGAATATCTCAGACATGATATATTCGTGAAACTATATGAATGTAACCACAGAGCTGTGCAGTAACCAACTTTGTAAATAAAAATCTCTCAGCCCAGGTTTTAAATAAGAGTCATAAAGAAACAGAGGCCCTCATCTTCTCAAGAAAATGTAAGGAACCACAGTCTATTCTCAATGATGGCTTTTTATTATTACAAAGCCTGTTTTGCATCTGCTATTTCCTCCCCTAAAGTTTAGTATATCATATAAATGCATGAGGTGGGAGAAAAACACCTTCTTAGGCCGGAAAAGCTATTTTGCATCAAGTAGATATACTCTTTTAGCAAAGTCTGAGCCACAGTCTTACAGCCAACACAATACATATCTATTCCAGCATGATTTTTTATACATATATTTTAAGTGTGTGAGTCCCAGCTCTCAAGTATGATACCTGAACCAAAAGAACAGAAGTAGACAGTATGGACCAATACTAAGCTTCTCTTTATATATAAAAATAATTTGCATTATTATTTGTCCTGATGGCATTTAGGTAACCAGTATGGAGACATACTGGTGATACTGGTTAGTACTCATAAACAAATTCTCTGATGTTAGGTAAAATGAGTGTTTCAAAAAACTGTTTCTCTTTCTTTTTTTTTTCTTTTTTTCTCAAAAAAAAAACTGTTTCTCTTTCTTTTTTTTTTCTTTTTTTCTCAAAAAAAAACTGTTTCTCTTAAAACACTGTTTCAAGTCAAATTAAATGGGTATTTTCTCATTGAAATCGCTCTTGCTCAAGAGCTATTTTCTAGTAAATCTCCCATTTTACTTTTCTAGTAAAGTGGGAATTTGTTATTTGAACATACAGTTATGTGAAAAAGAAAGTTTTCACAGGAGTTTTATGCATTATTGTGAAAAAGTAAATGCACCCTTGCTCTTTCCATAGTAATTAAAAGTCACATCAAGTTGCAACCAGGTTCTGTTAATTAAATGCATTTGATTATTTGATCATCAGCAAGTGTGAGCACCTTTTGTTCGTTGGTCTGGAGCATGGAGTGTGTTAAAACAACACCACAATGTTCCCAGGAGTGGACATGCCAGCAATTCTAGCCCAAAGTCAGACCGTGTAGTGTTCTAAATTCAAGAGCTACAGCTCAGATGCTACAGGCATCAGTTAGCATGTTAAACATTAAAGATCATGACAAAAATATTAGAAAAAGACTGAATGGCTTGCTTAGGAGGGTTTCCATGTGAAAGCTTCTTCTTTCTAACAAGAGGATTGTAGGTTTGCAAAGTTACATCTGAACAACCCACAAAAGAATGACCTTTGGACAGACCAGACCAAAGCAGAGATGTTTAGCCGTAATACATAGCACCATAATTACATATTACACAAACACCCAGCACCAAGTGCCACACACCAGGTAAAGGGTTGATCATTTGGGTGTGTTTTTGCAGCTGCAGGACCCAGGTACTCTGCAGCCATTGAGTTGACCAGAAACTTCTTTTTATGTCAAAGTATTCTAGTGTCAAATGTGAAGCCATCTGTCCAACAGCTAAAGCTTAGCCCAAATTGGGTCATGCTACAGGAAAATGATTCCAAGCACAGTATCTACACAAAAATGGCTGCAAAGGAGAACTGAGGTGCTGCAATGTCCCAATGCTCAATAATGTTGTAAAGAACAGTGGACCAAAATTCCCCCACAATGATGATATAGACAATGATTACTTAAAGCTGTTGTTGCTATGAGTGATTCTAAATCATGGGGTGTACTTAGATTCTCACAGGACTTCACGGAGTCCAGTAAAAACTTTCTTTTTCACTCATAATCCTCCATCCACTATATCCACAGATCTCTAGCTGAACCACATGTGTACAGATTCAGTGCACTGTACCTGAAATATTTAGATATTCAACATGGACAGATTTCTCCATTTACTGTTAAAGCTTCTCTCTCTGTCTCATCAGTTCAGTCGTGCATCTGCACTGCTTTCCTCAGCTTTTTATTTTTATTTAATTTCGCGTTTTTCCTTTCAACAAGTGCGCTGTGCACCACAACTGCATTTCCATATCGTTCGCTTCATAGCATAATTGCCTAAGTCATTTGACTAAGTCAATGACTTAGGCACTTATGCTATGAAGCTAACGATATATATTTCCTACTGAACAATCATTCCCCCATCATTACTAAACTGATAAACCATTACCTCTTCAGCATTCGGATAATGATCTCACACCTGAAACCTCCTGTCCCACAATGGCCTCATTAGCCATTTAAGACATTATCTGCGTGAAGGTTGTGTAAATGAAAAATCTGGTCGCTTTTCACAAGGCATTCAGCACAGGCAGATAGATAGAAGTGCAGTCACATGGTTGGAGCGCCTCCCCTGCAGCTTGCTGGAACTGAAATATTTGAATATTTCCCCCTGTCTCAAAACTTTTTTTTCCTCGGCACTGCCCTCAGTCGGAGCGCTGTGTGTGATGTCGCTGAACGCGTGGTTGCAGTGCCGCGGTCGGAGCGCTCTCTCTGCGGTTCCACAGCAATAAAAAAAAGAAAGAAAAACGCGTGAGGTGAACAAAAGGACAGGAGCTCCATGATAAAGGACTGTATCTTGGAGAAAAGTGGCTGGCCGGAGCCCGTCAGCATGCGGGTCCTGTTGAGCGTCCTGTACCCGGTCCTTTCCCTCACCATCTTCGGATTGTATCCCTCTATGGTGAGTTTGATTTTTTGACACTTGTTCCGTTACAGAGCGAGGATGTCGTTTTCCGCGCACTAGCCTGCTAAGGGGTGAGGATGCACAACCTGTAGTTTCTCCACAGTAACCCTCGCACTGATAGATGCCACAGTTTGTTCTACGATGGTATGCCCAACTTCACTCTAAAGTCGCAGTGCTTTAACGGGATTTAATGAGGTTCACGAATGTGCAGGAAGTACAGCACGTCGGTTTGGGTTTGGTGCGCATAGCTGCCCTTATTTCCATGAAAACTTTGAATAAATATAATGCCTGGAGCCATTCTCTAAAATGTAAACTGAAGCCGTCCCACATTTTTTCTAAATGCAGTGCTAGTTAGTAGAAAATGCGTATGGCTTATTACCAAATACACCGTGCGTTCTTTTCTTTCTTTTTTTAAATTCACCTGGGTCTGTTTTCCCAATAAGCCAAAAAAAACGGCCACGTAGTTAATTTGTTCAATTTCTTTATGAAAATAAAAGGAAATCATTCTTTTGTGAATAATACATTTTGGTTCGTCACCCATCTTGGCCACTTGTGGATGTCATTTCGTTTGAAAGCTGAACAGGTTGTAATGCAGTTGTGAGAGAAGGTGCACAGCATTTCACCGTAAGCTATGGGCTGTTTCCTGTCTAATAGATGTGAAGCTTCAGCCCTAAGCCACCATCCGTGCCCTATATGGTGAATACTTCAGCAGCAAAATCCTCCACAAAGGAGCGTCTCGCTCTTTTGTCAGTGACGCTGTTTCTGTCAGGATTTGTTGGTTTGTCTTTGCGTTTAACCTTCAGAAAATTGGAGGAAAGTAGAATTTCAAGTGTAGTTTTTTTGTTCAAAAATTCAAGTCTGAAGCTCAGTTTATCGAGCTCAAGGTTTTCTGTGGAGCTGTCCACTCTGTGGTGCTGAAACTGTGGTTCTTCCCAACTGGAAAACCAGAAAATCGACTTCATCCAACATTTGTATGCAGTTTCCAAAAGCGCAATAAGAACACTCTATGCTTTATTCATAGGGGTGAGTTCCTTGATCCTTTACTAGTCTTGGAACAATTAGGTGATTAATCAATTAGCGCACAGACAGAAAATGAATAGGTGGCAGTTTTTTTAATGAGTTCATTCTTTATGTCATCAAGATGACAGTGTCTCCTGCATATACATCCTCAAAATACTGCCTCATTTTTCTCCTTCACATGATTTCATGATTCCTCTGTTCTTCATCTCTAACTTTTATCTGTATACTTTATAAGTTAATCAGTTGATTAGCTCATCCCTGCTATATACTGCATATGTTTTCATTATTTCATCACTAGTGAACTCTGTAAATCTGCTCGTTGGTATTCTCTCTATATTTTAGACGTTTTTTCTGCAAAGGCAATTGTGGTTTCCTCTGACTATCATTCAGTTCGCTCTCTATCTTTTATCTCTTTGTGATTAAATCGATGAATACACCGTTGCCATTGAGGAGATATTGTGCTTGATCAAGAGCTGCATGCAAATTGCTTGCATGGCCCCAAAGGCCTTTCAGCTTCAGTGTTTAAAAATGATCTGGAAAGGGAAACCTTTTATGGTATTACACTAAGCTGGAAATTATTAAGCTGTCACTCACATGCTTTCAGACCTTATACATAATGCTTTCTTCAGTGTAGTAAGTGGTGGCAGCTGTTACTTCTTGGCATTTAAGTTTATTTGTTCATTCTGCCTTCATTACCCCTCAAATGTTCAGTTGGGCAACTTGAAAATAACCTTTTACAAACCAGACCTTGGACAAAGAGGCTAGAACTAAGGCTAATGGTATGAATTTTCCTTTGTTGCGGAGTGGCACAATCTGGTTTGGCAGATATTACCTCTGCAGTGTAGACAATGGATCCCTAAAGAGCTTTTGTGAGAAAATGAAATATTTGCATAGTGTAGTTTTCCCTTATGGTCTGTGCCAGCCGGGTAATTACACAGTGGCTGCTAACGGCACAGTGTTACTCTCATTATGATCAAAATGATGACTGGGATTTGTTTTATGATTACACGTGATAGTCTGCACCCAGAGGACGTATCGATTGAAGAAGAACGAGAGACGTAATTGACCTGAAGAGTCTGACATCAGTCCTGATACCAAAAATTAAACTGCCCACTTCAAATTCAACACCCATATCTTTCCTCATAGTCCAAGCTAATAGCAGAAATTTTGTCTATAAATAATCACACAGTGCTTTTATGTAAGGTGTTACGTGTTAACATGTTTTAGCGAGTGCTTAACACGATAGGCTTTTTTTTTCATGGCGAGGCTTAAAGTAATCAATGACTGACATGTCTTTTGCGACAAAAGGGGCAATGCTGTTTCCTGTGGAAAGTTTTTTCTTGGTGAGACAAAAACAGCAAATCCCTGTCAGTTTCCTTAGAATAATTAATTCTTCTTTGGATATAAATGACAAATGATGTGCACGACTGCACAAAACATAACTGGTGTGAATAATGTGAATTTTTCTGGGGATTTTGTTACAACACCAGTGGGATGGAGCTTTGTGTAGGCACTTGCCCTCTCTGGTAGCCATTGTGAGTAGGTGGCAGGCAGGAGTACACAACCTGCAGGAACGCACACACACACACACACACACACACACACACACACACACACACACACACACACACACACACACACACAGAGTCCAAATAGTCCCTTTTATTAATATAAATGCCAGGTTTGTCAGTTTACAGAGATGCTGTTTTCAGCCTCAGTTTTGGCTGAAATGTTTCAGGTCACTTAATCAGGTTTTGATCACATATGAATAATATGAAATGAAAAATGATCATGGGTGCATGGGAGAGCATACTGTGACTGATCCAACACTGATCATTAATCATCTTAAACACAGAAAGGCATTTATGTAGCTATTGTTTTGCGGGGCTGAAGGAGGCTATCTGTCAGGAACTGATGTTGTCTCTTGCTTGTTTGAAATCAGTTTTTCAGCTTGGATTAGCATTTATATGGATGATACACTCCGGGAAATTTGTTGAGCACAGATGCCATATCAAAAGATGAGAGGTGCCATAGGCACACACCTACTCATATCCACACAGTGGTTAAACAATGGAGGTTTTACACTTCACATGACTATTTCCACCAGGAGCTAAATTAAAAATGACATCTTCTAACTATGTGTCAACATAAACCAACCAAACTGTTAGCCACAAGTCGGCACGCAAAGTCATTAGTCTGATGCTGCTTGTTTCATGATGGAAGCAGGAAGGAGGTTGTCAGGGCTCTTGGACTGGAAATAAAGAAAGCAAGTCACCGATGATGGATGGGGACAGTTTGTGCAAACAGCAGGATAAATATGAGGCACTTTTTGGACTAAGAGATGTTAGACCTTTTGAGTCACTGAGAGGTTGTAATGACTTTTCTGTCAGTTTTTTAAAAAAAATAAATAGTTTTGTACCTGTCTGTTGAGAAGTATGTGGCAGGCTGACGGAAGAATTCAGTTGACCTTGTGTTTGTAGCGGTTGAATTCATCCTTTTGTTTAGCAGCACGGTGTCTAAATACAGACAACTATAGACACCCACAAACAAGCCCTGAAGAAGTTTTTACTTTTGCACCTTTGCTTCTCCCTTTTCTGGCGACTGGCCATCATATTCACTCAAAAACAGATACTTACCAAGAGATTGCAGTTATGTGGGCAATTATCAATCGCTTAAAGTTTCCATCTTTTTTTATATAGGTGATGATTATAACTCTTGAAGTGACATTTCCTCGTTTTATTTTGGGAGGTCGCCTTGTAATCGGAAGGTTGCCGGTTCGAGCCCCGGCTTGGACAGTCTCGGTCGTTGTGTCCTTGGGCAAGACACTTCACCCGTTGCCTACTGGTGGTGGTCAGAGGGCCCGGTGGCGCCAGTGTCAGGCAGCCTCGCCTCTGTCAGTGCGCCCCAGGGTGGCTGTGGCTACAATGTAGCTTGCCATCACCAGTGTGTGAATGTGTGTGTGAATGGGTGGATGACTGGATATGTAAAGCGCTTTGGGGTCCTTAGGGACTAGTAAAGCGCTATATAAATACAGGCCATTTACCATATTTTACTTGTAGTTTTTTTCCCCTCTCATCTGAGTGACTGCAGCTTAGTTAATAATAAGTCTAAGCATAATTACAGGAGTTGAAACATGATGTTGAAACTACCAGGGGCATAGTTACAGCCCTCTCCCTGTTCCCTTTTTGATTACTATAATTACAGCCCAAGCGGTCTGTATATCAGCTGCATATTACTGGATAAGAGCTGAAAGGCTTAACATGAGAGGACTGGAAGACCTTTTTAGCCTGGAAAAATGGATCTTATACTTTCAGAGGTATTTAGAGCCAGATAAAGACAATAATTCCTGATGTCTTACTTAGATGCTGACAAACTGGAGCAGAGTTGAGTTTTTAGACTGATGTCAATAATTTAAATAGTCATTAGAGTCAAAGTAAACATGCATCAGAATGCATGAATTTCTTTCTAAGCGGTGTTTACCAGATGTGTTTCTAAAATGGGCCAATAATAGGATTGTTCTTAGTAGAGATAGGCATGTCTCCAAAAAGAACATTTTTGAAAGAGCAGGTTTGAAAGGTTGCCTCTGAACAAACCACAAGATATTTCAAAAGACATTTGGAACAACATCCTTGGGCAGAAAAGAGCAAAGTGGAGATGTTTTAATGTGCACCACCTCATACCAGCTGTCAAGCACCGTGGTGGAGGGGTAATGATTTGATGAGAATCTGGGCATATTGCAGTCGGTGACTAAGCCTTGAACTCCTCTGTATACCAGAATACCAATGCTACAGCCAACTGTGAGGCCATCTGTGACAGTTAAGGCGTGATCTAGAGTGGGTCTTGGAGGAAGACAGTGATCCCAAGCACAGCAGCAAAAATCCAACAGCATGGCTGAAAAAGAGAAGAATCAAAGTGTTGCAATGACCCAGTCAAAGTCCAAACCTCAACCAAACTGAAATGCTATGGTGGGACCTCGA